CACCTCCTCCGACACCGCCTTCTGATTCCCCGCATGTGCCTCTTGTCACTTCTTCTACGGTCTCTGGTCACCCTATGACTACCTGTTCTAAGACTGGTTCCCAGTAGCCGCGTACACTCTTTAATTTGTCTGTCATCTCTGATATCTCTGCCATTCCACGCTCTACTGCACAAGCCTTGTGTGACCCCAATTGGAAGATTGTCATGGATGCTGAAATGGCTGCCCTTGATTCCAATCACACATGGGACTTAGTTCCTGTCCCCCATAGGCTAACATTTTTGGTTTTCGCTGGCTTTATCGCCACAAATTTGACTCCCTTGGTCAACTAGATCACTACAAAGGACGCCTCGTAGCCCAAGCTTTCTCTCAGTAATCGGGAATTGACTTTGACGATACCTTTAGTCTGGTTGTTAAACCTACTACTATTCGTACTGTCCTTAGTATTTCTGTCTCTCGGCAATGGCAATTCATCAACTTGATGTTAAGAATGCCTTTCTTCATGGTGATCTCACTGAGGTTGTTTACATGAAGCAACCTCCAGGCTATGTACATCCACAGCATCCCGATTATGTCTGCCACTTATGCAAAGCTCTGTATGGTCTCAAAGAGGCTCCTCGTGCCTAGTACCAACGATTTGTTGTATATATTTCCTCGCTCGGTTTCAAGAGCAGTTTCTCTGACAGCTCTCTTTTCACTTTTCACCGTGGACATGAAACAATATATCTTCTTCTTTATGTTGATGATATTGTTCTCACTGCTTCTAGTCGATCACTCATTACACGAGTTATTACCCGGCTCTCCACTGAGTTTGCCATGACGGACTTAGGACTGTTATCTTACTTTCTTGGCATTCCTGTTGCACGTACTTCCACTAGTCTTTTTCTCTCACATGCAGTTTTTGCAAGAGAGATTATTGCTCGCGTTGACATGCTCTCTTGTAATCAATGTAGCACTCCGACGGACACCAAATCTAAGCTTTCTTCAGAAGAAAAGCCGGTCTCTGATTCGACCTTGTATCGAAGTCTTCAGGTACATTACAGTATATGACTTTAACTCGCCCTGATATTGCGTATGCTATTCAGCAGGTCTGTCTCTTCATGCATGACCCATGTGAACCTCACTTTTATGCTTTCAAAAGAATTTTATGCTACATCCAGGGTACTATAGGTCATGTTCTTTACATTCGTCCGTCTAATGTCGATCGCTTGGTTGCATATTCTGATGTTGATTGGGTCGGGTGTCCTTCGACACGTCGGTCCACCTATGGGTTCTGCGTTTATCTTGGGGATAATCTTGTTTCATTGTCTTCAAAACGTCAATATGTTGTATCGCGGTCCAGTGTCGAAGCCGAGTATAGGGGGTAGCTAATGTTGTCGTTGAAGCCTCTTGGCTTCGCAATCTTTTACTCGAGTTGTCTTGTCCTTTAACTCGTACTACTATTGTGTTTTGTGACAATGTGAGTGCTATGTATTTAGCATCTAATCCAGTTCAGCACCAACGAACCAAACATGTGGAAATAGATTTACATTTTGTTAGGGAATGTGTTGCCATTGGTCAAGTTTGCGTTTTGCATGTTCCATCTGCACACCAGTTTGCTGATATATTTACAAAGGGACTTCCTACACAATTATTTACAGATTTTCGTAACAGTTTAAGCATTCGTGAACCTCCCGCTCAAACTGAGGGGGAGTGTTAGTAAACTATTTCTTTTATTTCTATATAGTGTAGGTTTGGTATATATATATATTGGTAGTATAGTGTCCTCATTGTAACATAATATACTGGTGTATTATTTATACGTATGGAATGCATTGGAAACCCTAACGGGTATTTTCATAAATCAACACTTTGTAGATTTTATAAAGCCTTTTATAAAATATAAACTTTAACGTTTTGGTAAAAAACAAAAAAGTTTTTCTAATCTAAAATTTTGTACATGACTTAACAAATCATACCATATGATATATTATGTTATTTGTCATTGAAAATTATTATTTTCACAAAATAAATAATTATAATTTCTAATTGATTATAAGAGTTTATGAATATTTATTAAAATCAAATTTTAATAAATAATCAGTTGTATCAAATTGTTGTTAGTGTAACCCTTTATGATTATATGTTGATTAGCAATATCATTCTAATATGATTATTAAGCATACAATATCTTTCAAGTCTCATTAGAAAATTATGGTCCTTGGATACGAATAGTAATTTTCTGAATTTTTGAATATTTCGGATTTACCATATCTAATATATATTACTTTCTATAATATATATATATATATATATATATAAATGAAATAAATGGGAGAGTTGGAACTTGGTTATAGTTTATTAACCAAAATTCTTTTTTTTACTTTTTAAGTCTACACTACTAATTTAACTTTATGTTTTTCTAGTTATTTAAAGTAGAGATATGTCATCCATCCCATGTTTTTACCAAGTTAGAGGATGTTTGATAGTTGTTGACTGAGTCAGATCTGACTGAGTAGATGTCTAATTGGATCTGAAGCTCTAACTGATTATGCCTCTGATTGAAACCATACTGTTTGATTACGCCTATGACCAAGTGTGTTAAATGTTCAATATGACCATTTTACCCTTTTATTCATTTTTGGGTTATTCAGTTGATAAAATAGCCAAAAATACCCTTTTTATAACAAATTATATATTTACAAAATAGCATACAAAGGAATAGAATATATATAATTAACAATGACAAAAATACCCTTTATAAAACAAATACATATATTTACAATCTTTTACAAATTGTCCTTTGTCTGATACTTTCTAGAAAATCTAGGAGAAACATATCATAATTTCTCGAATTCGTTACATGTTGTCACAATGTTACTTAAGCCACATCATCAAGGTTATTGTTTCCTTTATTCTCAATGTTTGTTCCATCCGTTTTGATAATCATTTCATAGAAATAATATTTCCATTCATTTATGATGTTGTGTAATGTTCTGTTTTCCCCAAGTCTACCCCTCTAATGATGATTATGCTTGTTTCCCTCTCTATTCCAAATAACTTCTGAATTTATGAGCAGAAACCCTCTCTTGCTTTGCATCCTGTTGGAAATACATCACATTCAACAATTATCTATACTCAAGTAAGCAAATGAATGTAATAGATCCTCATTAGTACTCATAACGTCATAAAAGCAATCAAATATTTGACTTTCATTATTAAGAAATAATTTTTTGGACTTAATCAAGAATTTAAAATTGAATACCCAAATCTAGATTTTGAGAAATAATACGATTTGAATCTAAAATACATGGCAGAAAAATCGAACTAAAAAATACATACTGAAAAATCGAACTGAAAAGGGAGGAAAAATAGAGGGCGTTTCTTACCCGTTGATGGAGGCCAAAGCTCAAGAAAGGGGGATAAGGCTTAGGTCGAAGATGGAGGAGTCGGTGCAGATGTCGGAGGTGGGAGGAGTTGCTGGAAGAAATCGTCTATGGAGGCAAGGAGAAGGAAGTCGCGCAGAAGGAGGACATATATAGACAATTTTCAGTCAACGTTTTATTTTAGTGGACCAAATAAGAGCCTTGTGCATTGATTGTGGATCGAGTAAGAGGCAAAATGGATGATATCAAACACACTTATTGGACCGGATCAAAAATGACCTCTTACTAACTAGTAAAAAGTCTATCAAACAAGTCCTCAAGCAACCACGTAGTAGTGTGAGTCGATTTAGATTTTAAACAAATAACCACATTAAAAAAGGAATATGGTGTGAACCTTTTCATGTATTAAAGGCATTCATTTAGTGTCGACCTTTTATGTATTAAAGATATTGATTTTTTCGTTTCATCTTAACTATATTTGCTTAATAGTTAATTTAGGAAAAAAGAATGAGAAATTGATCCACTTAAGAGAAAAAAATATCAATAGACTCGCTATATTTTGGTTTACGTTTTTCATTAGGAGAAAGGTGATGTATTTCACTTCATTTGTTAATTATTAGTCAATATAGAGGAAAAATATTATAATTTATAGTGTTTATTTTGACTAAATGAAGAGAATAATATTGTTATATAGCTATAAAATAATTAAATAATGTTTTTTTGTAATTTTAGGATGTCCGAAATTTCAAATACTAATTTACGTATCAATATCCATTATCTGAAATTTTTGTATAAAATTAATAACATAAAACCACTATATTTTGTCATTTTCCGGCTTAACCATCCAATTTTTTTTTTTTTTGTACTAAAAAACTCATCCACTTTTAGATAAAAACTCTATCTTGAACCACTATGATCTGCAAATGTTGGTCAAATAGATAATGTCTTCTTTTTTTGTTATATGGAAATCATCCATACTTTCAAATAACTCTATCCCAACCTGCAATCATTATGGTTTTTTGTGCTTATTTTTATCGAAAAATTACTATATCAAAAATATAATCTTTTGTCATCTGTAAAAGAACAACTATATCGATATATGTTGATGTCAAACCTTAAAGTTCCTTTTTTTTTTTTTTTGAAAAACCATTAGGTTTCTGTTTCTATAATTAGTTGAACTTTTTTTAGGTTGAATTTTTCTAAACTAAATAGAAACCAAAATCAAATGGTTTTTCAACAAAAAAATGTACTTTACGATTTAGCATCAACATATATCGATATAGTTATCTGTGTATAGATGACAAATTATAAAATTTAATATATTAACAAAAAACGGATAGTGATTACGATGAGATTTTTTGAAAATATGGGTGGTTTTTGCAGAACAAGAAATGAGGCATTCTTTATATGGCCGACATTAGTAGGTCATAGTGGTTATCATAATTTTTTTTTTTATCAATAATTAGGTGATTTTTTTAGAACTAAATAAAATTGGATGGTTAAAATTGAAAAGTTATCAAAATATAGTGGTTTTTATGTTATTAACCATTTTGGATATCCAATAACTTGAATATTTGGTTTTGAGTACCCCTACTAATAAGCACTATTTGATCATCAAGGTTTTGTTGGAGTGTAGTTGGGGATTTCATTGGTTATTAGGGTTTGCTCGAGTCTAACGCATGTCAAGTGTTCAATAAAGTACACGACTCGTCTGAGAAGATGTTGTTGGCAATAAATATTCTTTATCTCCAATTTTAACGCCCGCAATTTTGGAGTAAAAGTTTTAACACTTAACACATATATTAGCATGTTTTGTGGTGTTGCTTTGCACATCATTTTGATTTTTGACACAAGTTGTTGGTCTCGCTATCAAGTCTTCATCTTCATACTTAATAAAAACCTCCCTTAAACGCCACGTGTCCCTCTTTTAGACCTCATTTTTGACACGTGACACTCTCTCCAGCAATATACTCTATTTTTTCCCGCTCAATTTGTCACGCCACCATTCCACGAAATTACTTCAATTCAGCATTATCAGTTATCAATATCAACATTTGTATCCCTAAATATCAGCAATTAAATTTCAAATCAGTTGCCGAATTTGGTGCATTTCAGTTTTCATTATCTCTGTCCTAAAATATTCCTAAAATACCTTTAGTCAAATATAATTGGAATTTTAATTTTGCTTCCGGTTTTGAACTATCTGTGTATCTTCAAGTTATATCATATCCCTGAAAATAAGGAAAAAAATTGAATTAATTTTTATTATACTAAATATATCTCTAATACAAAAGGAAACTAAAAATCTATACAAAACTTACACGCATATTATTTGAAATTTGAAATTTCAATCCCAAAAATCAGGCTCAAATAAATGCATATACATATATTATTCATCCACGAATCTGCGTCTTAGTTTTATTTGCAAACGCTCTTCTGCTTCAAACCTTCCTTCCTGGACAGCTTCATTGTAATTGATCATAAGTTCCATCAGCCATTCACACTAAGAATAATGGATGAAAAGAACAAAAGGTTAGAGCTTTATTTCGATTGCAACACCTTTTTTCTGTTTTTTTATTTATCATTAAATTACATGTCTTTGATTCCTGATATCCAAAATTTTGACATTTTCTGCAAGTTTACCACCTTTGAACCATCTGTATTTTAATGTTTGAAAGCACTGTATGATTTTTGTTCATTTTTCTAACTACCTTCCTATGATTTTTGTGTCTCTGTGATAAAATACCAAGAAATAGTTTATTACCTTCTCACAGAAATGCTTGCTTTGCCGGCTGAGATCCATTTTATTTATCTGTTTTTCATACTATCACCATAATGGGTACCTAAACAAAAAATTAAAAAAAAACATTATTTACATATTGATGTATAATTTATAGAGAAGTTCAGTTCAATAACTTGTTCCTGTTTTGTGTCTATGTTGCTAAACTTATTTTATTATTAGTTGATGATTTTGATTGTTTATGTGTGTGTGTTTGTGTTTGTGTTTATGTTCCTTTATGTATGAATGTGTGTGTGTTTCTGTTTCTGTTTCTGTTTGTGTGTTTATTGACATCAAATTTAGATCTTTTTTATGTTCCTGTTATTCGAATACAAGAAACAACAATTACTTGTGTCGATGTGACTATTTATCATTATTCATAGCATTGAATTAATAATGTACTTTTCAAACTCAAGAACCATTTGTTCATTTTGTTTACTACCTTCCTATGATGTTTGTGTTTTTGTGATAAAATACCAAAAATATAGTTTATTACCTTCTAACAGAAGGTGCAAGATTAATAGAAAATGGCATAATTGTCTTTTTATATTTTAAATAAATAATGACAGATTTTTATTTACAAGACTGGGATAAATTGGGCTTGATTGATAAAGCTAACTTCAAATAAAAAAAATATAATCTTTTAAAAGTAAATCAACATCTACTGGACATCTGAAAAGTGTAAAAAGAAAATTTAATTACCTGATAACACTCTACTGCTTTATTAAGATTGTCTCTATCTTTATATATAACTCCAAGATTATTGCATGCCTCTACACAATAATGGGGATTGAAGTGGAAAGCAAGTTCATAGAATACAATCGACTGCACATAAACGGGATCTTACTACAATTAAAATTGAACATATTAATTTTATACTTAAATGAAATTTAATGAAAATGGATTAAAAATCAATGTTACCGGTTCAAAATTCAACATTTCCCCATAAGCACGTGGATGAGTTTGTTCAAAATAACAAAAAATAATGATTTGTTTATTATAATGTCAACACTTCCAAAAAAAGATTAATTATTAAAATCAATTTACAAACATTTCTAGCTACAAGCAATCTAGCCTTCATTCAAGAATTTGAATATATATATATATATATATATATATATATATATATATATATATATATATATATATATATATATAACACATTACTCACTAGACATTGCATTAACCAATAAAAACATAATAGTGGTAGGCACTCGCTTGCTTAAAAAGCTAAGATGGTTACTCTATGTTACTATTTCATACATTTACTATTTTTAGGTAAAATGTTGATTAAAAAATATATTACCCTTTTGAAATCAAAAAGGTATCCGAGTAAATTTGATTTCCTATACTTTAGGACGGAATGTTAAAATCCACATGTCAAAGTATTTGTGAATTTCAATTAGATTCAATTTGGTACTCATTTGCAACCAATGTCATAATGGAATGGAATTGGATTCCTATTCAGGAAAATCACAAATCCTTGCAAATAACACATACATCCGGATTAATGCCCTTATATGAAATTAGGGATGAAATTATTATTGTTAGGAAATTCAACAGCAAATCAAACAAATTTTCAAAAAATCTGCCAAGATTTGAAACGCAATTCCTAAAAAAATCCGAGTATAAGAATTGAGCATAATACGTTTATATCATGAAAATATATATACCAGCTTAATCCGAAATTCCTCTTCTTCTCTTTGTTATCGGTTGCGTCATCGTGTAAACCTATTGAACAGGTCGCCTTGGAATAGGTCATCGTTTTCATGAAACCATCGTCGTCTTGTAATTACTCCTCCCCATCAGATCTTGGTTTTATTAATCTTTCACTTTCACTTGCGTTGTTTATCTTGCTTAGAGATCACCGGCATTTCCAAGAGATTGAAACGACGAGAACATTACCCCCAAATCTGAAGGTATTGATCCCATTTCCCATCTAAACTACTCCACAATTATGTATGTAACACCTTTAATTTTAAAGTATTTACATTTATTACCCCCAAATTACTTCTATTACCTGATTTTGTTAATAAAGTTTTATAAATTTCATTATACTATTTTTCTTTATTTATGTTTTGAATTCTTCTTTTATCGTTACAAAATATAGCGTAATAATGCTTTTTAAAAATATAACATTACTTAGTTAGATAAAAAAAACCAAACCAAACCAAGCTAAAATATAATAATTATGTTCTAATATTTTACAATTATTCATTATGTTAATAGTTTAATACAAAATTACTCAACATTACATATGTTATTTTGCCAAGTAACTCATATTGCAAACAAATAAATCCAATTATATTATTTTTGTTGATTTTATTAATTTTTTTAATCATTACAAAATAAATATAACCATTAATTTTTTTAAAATATAAACAATTTGTTCCAAAAAAACTAATGCAAAAATTAAAACCTAATAAAATAATAAAATAAATTTAAATTCAAAAAAATATATATCGAAGTTTGAATATTATTTAACCAAGTAATTTATAATACAATAGTATCAACAAATAAATGTAAATATAATCTAAATTATTTTCATAAAGTTTATTATCATTACAACTATAAATCAATATTTATTTTTAGTATATAAATAAATTGTACCATGTTATTATTAAAAAACTTAAAATTAAATAAAATATAAGAACATATATTTTAATTTCTAAATGCATATGCAACTTTGTTTATTTTTAACCAAATATTTAATCATGATAATATCTATTTATTAATCATTGCAATACAGTCTCCGCGTAGACATTTTGGGGTATATGCAAGAAATTTATTATTTTTCACTATTTATTAAAAAAGAACATGGATGTCACGGATGCTAGAGAGAAAGAAAAAATATCAGTTATACTTGGATAATAGAAAATCCAAGAAAAAATACGACACATAATCGTCTCAACGTATACCTATTGTACATGATATTCATTTTAGCCAATACCATAATTTTCTTACTTTATTTTACATATGTAATATGTTTTATTTATTTATTTAATTCATAGTGTTCTTTATTATTTTAAAAATTAAAGATTTTTTTTAAAATATTAAATCCTTAACTTTATATCAAAATATGTCCTTAAATTGTTTACTACTATTTTACAGGTTCAAATAACACTACATATGCCTTTAACTCCTTCTAAAAACAATATCCCATTTAAATTCCAAAAAAAAAACAATTTTCATTGGTTGTATGTTTTGCAATGAGTTTTAATAAGAGTCAAGAACAATATTTATTGAATGTTGGTTTGTTTCTCAAGGATCGTGTTTTTACACATGAACAATTGTATGTTACTTTATCTAGAGTTCAAAATAGAGAATGATTAAAATTGTTAAATTTAGATAAGCATGGGGGACTAACAAATAAAACATCTGATATGGTGTATAAAGAAGTTTCTAAAAATTTATAAAAACTTCGTACAATTCTATTATTTATAGCTTATTATTAGTAAATGACCATTAATTCAACATTTTAATTTGTAATCTTTTTTGTGTCTATTTAATTTTCTTATATTATAATAGTTTTTAAATGTCATGTAACAATGTCAGTTCCGTGATTGTTTCTGTTTTTGTTTAAATATATATTCAAATTTATATTGCGTTGTACAAAATCATAATTTTATAACATATCTATAAATACAGTTGTCGATCGGATATTCAAATCAATATGCATACGTAGTTTCAACCAATCATAATATAATTATGAACTTACTAACAAAACATCTATTTTTATAAATTATTAAAAGAATTCATCATTGCTTAATAATTATCATTGTTTAATAATTACCTTATAGTTTAATTAAAATTATTTTTTATCTTACTCTAGTTTATATGTTGAATCTTGGTGTTTATTAGATTTTTTTGTGATTTGATGGGTCCTCTTGAATTTGCCTTTCCAATTGATAGATATTTTCTTTTTCGCCTTCTAAATTTTTGTTAAACCTTTGTAGGATTGTCACTAGGTGATACCCGAGGTTGCATTCCTTGGTTGTTTGTTTGTCGATGGTAAATAAAAATTCTTTAATGGATTCGGAGCAACGAGGATTTGTTATGCTTGATCTATTCTTCTTAGTAGGTTGGGTTATTTGTTTGCCTTTGATCGTTCTAGATTACACTTAGACAAATGCAATTTATTATTGATAATGTTTCACTCAACTCCACAACAAAGACATGTACACATCTTGTAATATCTTGTGGTTGCTATGCACAAGTTTGTTATCACTCAAAAGGATGATCTTGGAATTTTTTATTACTATTATTCTTTTTACAAATTTGTTTCAAGATAATCCATATCCGTTCAATCATTTGACCTTGAAAGATATTTGTTCCAAAAGGCATTTCGAGTGGGAGATATTTCATTATGTGATAGATTTTTTATTTTTTATTTTCTGTTAACCTTACATATAAATTGGTAAAAGAAATGAGTTATTAAATTTCAAATGCACGCCATCATTAATTACTTTTGCTTTACAAGATTGTTTTTATATTGTCAACCATAAATGATGAATTCAATCACTTTTTTCATAAATAAAATTATACGGAGGTAAACTCCAAGTCAAATAAAATAATCTAATATCATTCGATATTTCAAAATAGATAGTATGCTAAACCAAAATAAATACTTTATGTAAATGGAAATTCTATTAAAGTGGCGCTTATTATACTTTCAGATTATTTTTAATTATATGTTGAAATAAGAATTTAATCAATCACATCGGTAAGAATTTAATGATGCATCAGTCATTATAGTCGAACATATTTTGCATTGAAGTGGATGGAGTAAATTCTCATCAACAAAAACGGTGATAATTCCAATGTAATGCGATTTCTGATTTCTCTATACACAAATTCGAAACAAAGAATCTGATAATCCAATCGCTTAACCAAAGAACAAATTCATCAACATTTCAAAGTCAAATCGTTAAAATAAGCAAGAGAATTAGAATTTCTGAATTTCATGATCAATATCAATGTAAGATTTCTAAAAAGAAATAATAAAAATAAACGAATAATTCATATGAAGATGGAGACAATTAAGACGAATTCGTTGGACCTGGAGACACCTGAACTGGACTCGGTGGACTAAATGCCTGCGGAGGCGCAGCCGTAACTGCAGCAGGAGGAGTAACTACAGAAACTGGTGGAGGAAGCTGCGGCGATGGATTACTAACCGCTGCAGATGGCGGTTGTGACAGAGAGGTATCCGGTGGCGATGGTGGTGGCAGAGAGGTTTCCGGGGGAGATGGTGGTGGCAGAGAGGTTTCCGGCGGCGATGGTGGTTGCAGAGAGGTTTCCGGTGGTGGTGGTGGAGGTGATGCGTTGGAATTAACGGTAGGATCGGATGGATTGGATGTACTAGGATTAGGTAAGGAAGGGAAAGGAAGTTGTAACGGTGGCGGAGGAGAGTACTCCGACAGCGAGCAAGACTCGCCGGAGCATTTATGAGATTTGGGATGGGTATTGTGGCCGACGATGCCGAATCCGATGACGAGACCAGATACAACTATTACGGCAATGAAGAAGATGAAGATCTTCGTTGCTTTACCTACATAACACATTATTACCTTTTTCACTCTACTGAATTTGCAGAAACTCGGAAGAAATAAAAATGGCGGAATTCGGCTTGTTATCACTCATGGCTTGAATGGTGGGATTTATTCCAAGGTTGAAATTAATAAGTTCAGAAGAAAGTACAGTTATTATTGCGTATAGTACAAGATTAGAAAGCACGGTGGTTTGGATTTGGAAATTTGGTTACAGACAAATTATGATTGCTAAAAAGGGTGGTGTGCTGGCTTTAGTGTTAGCACGTGAAGCCAATTTAGGTTTTCTCGGTGGAGGCATCGGTTAGCCCCCCGTGACACCGTGACTATCAAAATTGTTTGGAGTCTAATTTTCCAAAAACTATATATAATTTGCGACATTTATATAATTGTAACATCTAATTTTCATAAAGATTTTGGCATGAAGACTGACTATAAATTCATAGTCATGTGATATATCAAATCATTATTTATATTTATATAACATATATATGCGTCTTCCACCAAAAACTGTTATCTCCAATTACGTGTAGACGAGTTTACCAAACTTATACATTATCAAATCCCATGCCCCGTTCAAAAAACTTTTTTTAGGCCGTTCAAATAACTGCATTTATGGTTTTATACCTTCTCTTTTTATGAAGCTCATTTAACCCTATTGGAATGCATAAACTTAAAGTTTAATGAGTTCACGAGTTCAAATAATATAAACTGCATAGGGGTGATTGGTGAAGTTTTGGGTGCAACTCCTCGTTTAGGATTCTTTCATTGATTTTTGTTTGTATGGGGTGAAATTTTGGGTGCCACACACTTGGCGTCGGATAAAAAATTTCAAAGAGGTCGACTATGTGTTCTTAAGGTTCAAGACCAAAGAGTTGACTGACATTTCCAATGGGATCGATTAAGGAGATAATGGTTTCAATTCTTATGCAAAAGGGTAAACTAGAGGCAGGTAACTTGTCGGATCAATCGAGGTTTTCACAAGGTTTGATCCGTCAAAGAAAAGACTTAGAAGAAAAAAGCAGTAGGTCATAGGAGTGCAAATTGAGTTGTTTGATAGAAAAAAGTTGCATAAGTCTTAATTATTTAATAATCCAAGCCTAGTATTAGCCCAATTTGACTAGTCTAACACCACAACCCAAACACAATATGTTTAACTCATTACTTGATCCATTTGATTAAATGAGTTGGACAAGACTTATAAGATGGGAAAAGGTTTTCTCTTCCACCAATGTGGGATAAGTCCCACATTGTAATTTTGTAGAGCAAAGTTCTAACCGTCTATCCATAGTTTACGGATTCAAGTTTGGTAAGGAAGAATACAC